GGACAACCACTGAGCCCACAACAGGAATTTGATGAATTTGTTCAATACTTTGGTACTCAATTCCATGACCCGGACTTTCTGCCACCGGCCTTGCAACCGCTTCAGGTCCTGTCATTTGATGAGGCGGTCGTAAATGAGGCCTTGCGTCGCATGCCGGCCACCAAAGCAGTGGCGCCACCGAGTCTCCCAGCCATTGTAAGGAAAGCATTAGCTCCTGAACTTACTAGTTCGATATATCATGCCATGGCCCATTGGTGGAGTGTCAACCCCCCTCAAGCACCAGACGAATGGACGGCTGGTTGGCTGCACCTCATTCCCAAGCCGGGCAAACCGAGCACGAGGCCTCAGGTTCTTCGACCTATTTGCCTTCAACACCCTGTCTGTAAAGTTGCATCGAGTTTTGTGACCACTCAACTGTTGCAATACACGATCGATAAATTTCGTCGCTTCCCGTTGTATGCCTACCTTCCTCATAGAAGTATTGTTGATTGTTTGCTTCGAGTTTCGCATCATTGTAGACAGGTCCGAGATGATTGTCACCTGCACAGTAAGGATGATTCACTCGATGGCATGTTCGGAGGCCTCCAGTTTTCTTTCGATATGAATAAGGCCTTTGACTCAGTCAGCCGCATTACTGTGAGCCTGGCCATCAAGTGTTTTCAACTCCCTCAGGACCTCCAGACCATGATCCATACCCTATTGTTCCTTCACAAATACTATATCCCTCACAAAAAGTTAGTGGGTGAAATTTTAGCTACTCGAGGGATTCGTCAGGGTTCAAAAGATGGTCCGATCCTATGGACGCTCTGCATGCACTTAGTGCTCGCTGATTTGGCTGCCAGATATTCGTGCACCTGGCTTCATGACCATGTGATAATTTATGCAGACGACGTGCATTTGAGATGGCGCACGCAAAGGCTGTCGGATAGCCTCACAGCCCTGTCTGACCTTGACCACATCCTTCGGATCTTTCGCATGTATGGTTTTACCATCAACCTAGATAAGAGTGTTGTCTTGTTTAGGGCTGTTGGCAAAGGAGCAAGCCGATTCACCAAACGGTGGGTCATCCGTACCAAAAATGGTCCGTTCCTGACCATGCCTGATTCTCAGACCCGATTGCCCATGGTCTCGAAAACAGCGTACCTGGGAGTCATCATAGGATACAGAACATGGGAGACAGACACGGTGGCCAGACGTCTCCAGGCAGCACAAATGTGTTTTCAATTCTGAGGAAGTGGCTCACAGCCCAATGTGTTCCGCAGGGCATTCGTTTTCGATTGTACCAGCAATGTATAGTGCCCACAATCATGTACGGCATACATGAAATGGGCATCACGCAGAAATTCTTTCGTAAGATCATTAGTACCATCAACGTGCACTTCAGACGCATGATCAAAGCACCAATTCATTTGACATATGAACCCACACAGGATATGTTTCGTCGACTGAATCAACCCTCTCCCTGGGCGATTCTCCAAAGCCACAACCTTCGACTGCGCCAATCGTTGCTGCACAAGATACAGCACGCAATCGAATCAGCCATGGACGACCAATCTCCTGATGTGATTGCGTTGACCCCAGACTATCCCATAAGCCACCTAGATACCCCGATTGATTCCTCGCAACCTCATGCTTAGGATCCATCTCTTGAGTGCCTGGAATGTCATCGACAATTCAATCAGGCTGGGATATTGAAGCGGCATATGCGTCAAATGCACCAAATCCCGTGTTTGCCGGAGGATGTATATAATCCCCTAAGAGACTCGGTGGATGGTACTAGTATTTGTCGTCACTGTAGGATCAAATTCTCAAATATGACGACATTACGTACATACATCAACAAACGTATTTGCACAGCTTTTGACATGCATCAGGCTTTGGTGATCCCGATTGTGTCCAGACCTGAAGTGGTCATGCACATTCGTCACCTTTCGTATATGGGTCTGTATTTGGACAAGCCATTGTGCCAGGAGCTTGCTACTCGATGTGCCTTCTGCAATTAACAGGTCCATGCCAAAGCCATGACCCGTCATTACAGGGACCACCATCAGGAGAAGATTGGACCGACCAATACCACTTGGAAATGGTCAGAGGATTTGCCAACTTCGGATCAGGCCGAGGTGAATACCCGCTCTACTACACCAGAACACTCAATGTCCACCCCCATCAATGCAGTGTGGTATACCAACTGGCAGCCATGACGGCCCACGTGTTTAATCCAGCCCACTTTCCTGTCATACCATGCATGAAGCGTGCATGATACCCATCCTAGACCTCAGATATTGATCAATAGCCTGATGACAATCCCGATCCAGCTCCAGCTACCAAGAAGCTCCGGGGCCCCATGGACCTAACCTCAACCCCGGACCCTGCCTTGCCCGCCAGGTCCACTACAATTCAATCCAGTACGGATAAGGCCAACCCCAGTCCATCGATGTTCAAATGCACCCAGTGTCCGGCGGTATTCTTGTCCCCCCAAAGCCTAACCCAACATCAAATAATATATCTATCGTTCACCAGGGTCGATCCCTACATCCACGGAGCCCAAACGTGGACGGCCTCCGGGTAAAGATACAATCCAATTCCGCTTAGCAGAGACAACAACCACCGAGATTCAAGTCCCATTATCCGAATTCAAAGCCTAGCCCACCCCTATACCGAGATGGGCCTCAAATTCGATTCCATAGACATTGGGCATCAAAACCACAAGCAAAGCACCAAATTATATATACATAATACCCCACGTCACCATATTATCCAAATAATATATTAATAGAATTTCATTTAAAAAATAAGCAAAAATAAAAAATTAATCGTACCGTTAAATTCTTACAAATATTTTATTTTCCTAAAGCATTTCAAATATATTTTCTTTCAGATTTGCGAATTTTATATAAATCAATTGTTTATTTTAAAAATAATATTCGGAGAATAATATTGGGCAAAATATTCATTTATAAGACCTATTATATTCAAACTTCATAAAAATATCGAATTCAATTATATCATTTATAATCGATATTATAATATGTTATATTCATCCTAATGCAAAATTAAAATTACTAAATTTAACAAAATATTCTAAATAATAGCCATAATTTTAAAAATATTATCGAATGAACAATCCTTTTCAAATTTAATAATTATTCGGAATATTTTCAAAATTACGTATAACCTCTCCATCCAATTATTAATCCATAAATAAATATTCGTAATCGAAATAATATCAATAAACATTTAACAATACAAACAATCCGATAAAATACTATTCTAAATAAATTCAATTCAAAATCATCGAAAAAATATCATATCATTAATAATAAAAAATAGAAAATATATCTATCCAATAATATATTCAAAAATTAATTCAATATATAAAGAAATTTCGTCTAAACCAAAACGACGATTTCTTAATAATCGAATTAAATTCCAAAATCGAATACCATAGAAACAAGATTTTAAAATCCAATCAAAAAGCTTCCTTAAAATCATTCGAAATTTAAGATATTTTATATCCTAAATTCCAATTCCAATTTAATACATCATTAAAATTCTTCAACCGTTCAAATAAGAATCGTTCCATATAAATAATTCTATATTATTTTAATATATCCTTTCATTTCCATTCCCCATTAATTTATTTCAATAAAATCTTTAAAAATCTGTTATTATGTTATATTATATCTATGTAAAATATATATATTGATTTAATATATATAGTTTTGGAATATTGAATTATTGTTTGGCTAAGTATTCTTCGCCTGTCCGTCAATATCTATTAGATGTTTTTATTTCTTTCCCAATCGAAATATGTCCAATAAATCGGGATTCAATATTGATCGAATATCAATCGAATGGGAAAGAAAAATTCAGTGACGGATAAATTGTTAGAACATAGGGTTTTTCCAAACGGCGAAATTCATGATTTAAACAAAAGGAGCATGTGGTTAGAACAAAAAACCTGCACACTAAGAACATATCCACCCATAACCGGTAAGAACATATTCACCCATCACTTAGAACACACAAAGATTGGGCTTAAAGATGTGTTGTGTTGCCTCGATTATATAAAATCCATATGGAGAGCATGCGCTTCGAACATACCAATGTCGCGTGCCAAACTCTCTAGATAGTGGAACACACCCAAGTCTGCAGCAAAATATTAATTTTCCTCAAGGAGGTGCCCCACCCCCACACGTGGTATTGCCTGCCCGATGGGCAGGTGCAAACTGTTCCTCCAAGTATGAACATGATGCTTGCAATCCACACATGTTCTTAGTCTCTGGTTCTAAGTGTATGGTTTTTGAGTCCATGTTCTAAGTCCATGTTCTAATCTCTTGTTGAAAGATGTTAAAAGTTTGGCGCTTAGAACAAGCTTAAAATTGTAGTTTTTAACATGGGCATGCATTTCAAATGTTCGGCCAATTCAGGATCCGCGTTCCCCGAAAATTCCTCGAGTGGCAAGTCCTTTTGTCCGGGTATACATGGTCACGGAATGCTCGCTCGAGGCGCCATGGAATGGTCCTCAAGGTCCTCATAATCTCTCACCAACTTTTACAGCCAAACAACAAGAGACAGTAGAAAGTGCTTCTCGGGCTTGGTCTTTCTTGTCAAGGTGGGAGCACCACGCAACACCCAGCAGTTCCTCCCTTGTCAGAGAAGCAAATCCACCGCCCTGACCTTTCCAAGGGCCGCAACTGCAAATGATCAGCCAAATCCTGCCATGCCACGGATGCGGCGTGCAGATGGCAAAGCCCAAATCTAAAAAAAAAAGGCCTGCAAGGTTGGAGGAACACAGATTGGACCGTTTTGGGGCAGATGGTGTTTGATTCCAAAACCACTATTGGATAGTTTTTGAGACACCGTTGAACCAATTTGGATGTTGCTTTTCCGATGGTTTCAGGTCGTCCCACTGTTCAGTTCCACCTTTTCGGCTCCGCCGTCCTGGTGTTGTCGGACCCACGTGATTTCCCACCACTAGAAGTGCCCCATCTCCCAATTGGTGCAAATATTATCGGGTATCTTGGCCCCCATCTTTGACCCGCTCGTTGACCGCACCCGTGGTTGGGGGAAGGTCCACCGCCGCTGAGAAGGGACCTCCGTTTGAAGGAATGAAGAGATCAAAGCAGGGTCTAGTGGACGTTCGGCATGTTCGGTGACCTATCTCCCACTGCTCTCTTCACTTCCTCGGCTGAACTCCCAGCGTGAGTGGGATCAGAGAGAGGTTGGTAGCCCCGAGGCCTTCCACCAAAAATGGAAGGTCTAAGCTTAAATTTGCTTAAGGAACCGAGAATTGCAAATATTCCCAGGAAAGTGATTGACCTTGAGCAAAACCAGGTAAAGTGAAGTGCATTGACTCACGTTCTTGTCCACCAACACTACCCGACAAGCTGCTGCAATGCTCCTTGCGGCCCTCACCACCATCACCCCTCATCCACCACGGCCCGGCACGATGCACTTAGCACTTGAAGACTGGCCTCGGCATTCTCTTGCACCTCAGGGGATTTCGCACCAAGTCCACACCGACGTGGGACGTGTTTTTTGGTCCAATGTCCATATCCATTCGCGCATGGACACGGGTCCACGTGTTTCAATAGCACAAGTGACAAGTGTGGATGCATTCCGGCTCTTTTATATAGCTGGATGTTCTAGAAAGTTGAAAATCCATGTAAAAACATGTGAAAGCATCCCAATTTGAGCACTCAAACCTCAACGGCTGGTCCCAAAAACACACCCAAAAAAGTCTGGCCTTCCGAAATCAGACTATGCGGCCCGCCCACCCGAAGAAGCCGTTCAGGAACACCCGGGTTGCAATCGGTCCTATGTTAAGGACAAACAAGGTCCGTCGCGGACCAAAGCGCGAAAGGGCGCACCTGTTTTCGGCTGCGCGGCTCGAGCCCCCGCCACTGCGGTTCAGGGGAACATGGACAAAAAGAGACATGAAGTCCCCATCCTCACATCACCCCAACTTTCCTGGCTCTTTTTGAAACTTTCAGCTGAGGTGGCTGTCATCGGCCTTTTCAAGGCCATCATCCCATGGCCAGTTGTTTCTGGCCGCCAGGGATCGCAGGCTCGCCACATAGGCTTCCTGCATCTCTCGAAGCTTTTGCTCCATTGCCCTCTTGTGCACCTTCTTGCCTGCTTCGAACTTTTCGTCGTGCACCAACCTCCAGTATTGCTTCTGGCTGAAAAACTGGAGCAGGGTCTTTCTTGCTCCGTACTTGGTGAGGGAGTCACCAAGTTGAGCTAGGCCGTTCACCCATCGCAGCTCCGTGGCTGCTTTCAGTGCTTGGTTCACTGCAAGCGTCAGCTCATAGCCTGCCCGGCTGTCTCTCAGACCGTGGAGGCTGCTGATGTTGCGGGTCATGGCATCGTAGATGCCTCTGCTGTCCATCACCAAAGCTCCCGCCACCAGCTTTGCGGTCTCGTGGACCAGGTGTCTCTTCACCTCATGGCCTCCAAACTCGGCCACCATCATTCGGACCTGGAAGTTCTGGTCCTCGCCGATGGTGATCGCCTGGACTTCGGCTCCATTGGAGCCTAGGCATTGCCGCGGCGTCTTGCCGCTCTTCCACTGGACCACCGCGATCTGCACCTCCTCGCCTGCCAGGGCTGCCTTCACCGTGACACCGGTGATGGTGCCAACCGTGCTGCTCTTGTCGGGGCGGTTGTGTTGGCTGTCATCAGCCCAGGTGATAACCGCGAGGTCAGTCACCTCCTTCATGTTCCAGCTTGAAGGGAACAGCAACCCTTGGCCGGCGTCTCTCCTCATCTCTCTCACCAGCTTGTTGACCTTGTAGAGGGTCTCTATGGTGCCCTTGTTGATCTCGCTCAGGAGGAGCGATGCTTCTGCCAGGAACTGCGGCGCAGATTGCGTCGCTCGCCAGGACACGGTGCCCAGTGCTGCCCGCGTGGCAGAAATCTCCGCTGCATTCAGAGGTGTCTTTCTCGCCTTTGTCTTGTCAATCTCAATCTCTTCAATCCAGCGGTTGGTGTAAACCTCCTGGTTCAGGATGATGGAGTAGTCCTTATTCTGGATGATGGTGCATCCAGCGAACTCAAAGTTGTCCTCATTCCATCGTCCCCATCGGAATGCCTCGTCGAGAAGGCGTTCCCGTGACAGGAAGTGTTCAGATGTCTCCAGCCCGAATAGCAGGAAATCATCAACGTGCAGACCTGCTAGGCCAACCAGTTGCGGACGCTGGCTCCCGCTCATGGATCCAGGCTCGTAGAGCGCGAAACAGCACTTGTCGCTCAGCAGCTGTCGCCATCCGGCCTCCACCATGGTCTTCACGCAGCGCTCCCACCATTTTCTCGGAGCGTGTGCTAGGCCGTAGAAGGCTTCTCGCACTCTCAGGGCTTTCTGCTGGCCAAACATAGCGCTCAGCTCTGGTGGCGCCAGCACGTTCAGCTCCTCATCCTCCAAGCTAATGCCAGTTTGCAAGAAGGCACTCGTCACATCGCCGGCCTTTACCTTGAACTTCAGGCCGGCGGCCATTGCGGCCGACCTTGGACATGGTCGGCGAAGCCGTGGCCACTTCTGTCAAGTTGTGCGCCATGAATCCTAGCACCACCAGACGGGCCTTGGCGGTTCCGTCGCCTTTGTGCGTCAGCACCCAGCGCATCTTCATCAGCTGCTCTGGAGTCACCTTCATCTCCTCTTGGATGGTGAGGTTCCGTAGCGCCTTGCTGATAGCCACCTGGGAAAGCTCTTTTGCCATTGCCAGGTCATACTCCTTTTTCTCATGCATCGGAAGACGATGCCGTTCAACTTCTTTTCCTTTCTCAGACATCTTCTTGCTCAGCCACACGACTCCTCTCTTGCGGCCCTTGTTCTTGCTCAGCCATTCGAAGTCGTTGGCGTCCACCTCAAAGGAACATGCCAGGAAGGTTTCGCCTGGAGCTTTCTTCTTCTTGGGCTTCTCCTTCAGTTTTCCAGCAGGCTTGGAGTTGTCCTCGACGACCATCAACTCTTCGCTCCCATCCGAAATCGAAGATGTAGAAGATGAAGAGGATCCTTCGGGAATTGGGACTTCAGCTCCTGTCGGCGCCCGTCTTCCTTCATAGAGGTCGTAGAGGAAGGTCTGTCCTTCTCGGTCTTGATGGTGTCCACCGTGGCCTCCGGGAAGATCGCATTCGGGTACCGGACATCGATTTGCACCTGATACTCCTCGAAGAGGTAGGTTGTCCACCACATCAGGTCCTCGAGCTGCCTTCAGTCCCGATGATGATGAAGTTGCTCCCTCTGGCGTCTCCTGATCGTCCTCTATGGTCTTGTCGTCCTTCTTCTCCTTCGCCAGGTCTTCATCGGCTGCCTTTCGTTTCTCTCCCTTGGACCTCTTCACTCGCTGCCGCTTCACAGATGCCTCAGGGATCAGCTCAAACCAAGTCTCACCCTTCCATCTGTCTTGGAGGTTCCGGCTCTCTTCAATGGTGTCGTGGATGGTCACCTCATCACCACCATGAGCAGGACGGACGAGAGTCCTTCTGCGACCGGTCAGTTCCTCCAGCTTCACAGGGCAGTTCGTCGCTCGTCCAGGGTTGAAAAGTGCCAGCCTAGGAAGCTCGTGAAGTCGGACCAGGAAGCGTTTGCCATCTTCCCATTTCACTGCCCAGGAGTCGCTTCCATGTTGTCCTCGTGGTTCAACCAATGGAGTAGAAGCTGAGAGATCTCCTCGTTGTAGCTCCTCGCTTGGGACATCGCCGGACACATCCATGTAGTATCGGCCTTGGAAGCTTCTCATGAGGGCCTCGAGCGTCACTGGGTTCTTGTAGATGGCCGCTCCTTCCAGCTTGGCATCTAGCTCTTCACGCTTCGAAGTCGGGCGGATCTGGTTCACCTTCGCCCGGATGAGAGTGGCTCCTGAGATCAGCCATGCTGTCGAACCTTCCATGAGAACGAGGCGTAAGGGCCCAGTCCAGTTGCCCTTCACCTTTCCAGGGCGGACTCGCTGTCGCCACACCATCACCAGTTGACCAGCTTGGTACTGGCTCGCCTTTCTCCCAATGGCATTTGCCAGCTTGCTGAACCTCTCTCGAGCTCGTTCTCGCTCAAAAGCTATCTTGGCTTTCTCCCTCTCCTTCACCAGCTTGTCGAAAGCGCGGCTAGGATCAATGCCTTGGAGCAGTTGTTGTTCGTCAAGTACTCCTCCTCCAGCTCCAAACACCCATTGGTATGCACTAAATCCACTTGGCCCGATGTGGCTGTTCATTGCCGCTGCTGCCATCTGGTACAGCTCGAAAATGTCCAAGGAGCTTCCTTCTTTGATCAGCCTTTCGACTGTCCTCTTAGCCAGGCCAATTGCGCCTTCCTCGAAGCCCATAAGCCAATGTGCTTCTGCAGGTGCGATAGTCAGCCCCACACCAGATCTGTTGAGGAAGTTCATAAACTCCTGGCTAGTGTAGTACCTAGCACTGTCGGCCACCGTCCATTTCGGAGAGGGGTACGTCATCAGCCATCTCGTCATTGACTTGATCACATCGGCTGTTGTTGGCTCCCAGTTTCCGGTCTCGTACCGCTTGAGATGGTCGATCATTGTCAAGCCAGATCCTCGATCCCTCCAGATGATCAACTTGTGCTTCACACCCGTCGGCTCTTCATGCTCGAAGACGTCGGTTCCGAGATGGTCGTAGATTGGAGAGGTGTTTCTCCCAGGCTCGCTGGGAGCCGTGGTCTCGGCTTGGAAGCCTCTTTGCACTCCGGGCACTCCAGGTTGGCTGCCAGCTCAAGGGCCCAACCAGGTGATCCTCTGGCCTTCAGCAGCTGCACCAAGTTGGACATACCCGGGTGTCCGCTCGCTCGATGGACTCGCAGCATCATCTGCTTGATCGCCTCCAATCGTTTCCCAGTTGGGGCCGTCTCCAAGTCCAGTCTCTTCCTGCTCAAGGCCATCACTTGCGGCTCCAGCTCAAAGCCATGATGTTCGCCTTGTGATTCTCCAGGAAGTAGGGTGGACGTAGTCTCTTCGTCCGTGCCCTCGGGGACCTCAAGGAGATAGGTCTCGACCATCTTCGTCAAATCATCTCGTTCTTGTCTCCATCGATGCTCCATGCCCTTGACCACATCCTTGCAAAGCGAGGCCGGGTAGTAGCTTGATGCCTCTGCCGCTTGCCCTCGACATTCTGCGTGTTCATGGGAGCGGTCGCATCGCTTGTTCAAAGTCAACCACAACTCTCGGCTCGTGGTCAGGATGGTCCAAGCCTTTCGCAAAGGAATGCCTTTCCACTCCAGCCCGTAGGCGCATCCGTCCACTCGGATCCAGTAGACACTTCTCCCATACCGTTGGATGGCGTAGATCAATCGCTTGATTGCTCTAGACTTCCAGCCAGGTCAAGTTCTGAAGACTGGATAGGCGAGTGCATCTAAATGATACCCAGGCCAGACGCGGCACCACCTCCTTGATCCTGTCGGCCAGTCGAGATGTCCCCTTACGGGTGTCCAGGCCATAGCCAGTCTTGAAGTTGATGCGCTCTCCATAGTATCCCTTCTGCTGGAAGGATGCCGTTAGTGTCGATTCGGGAGAGCAGGCTATCTCCATCACATCGACTTGCGGACTGACATTGTTGATCATCTCTCTCACTGGCTCCATCAAGGTCACCGTCATCGCAGCTGCCAGTGCCAGCCTCCTTGCCAAAGAGGGTCTCACCATCTTCTCCGTCAGGTGGTTCGTGGCAGCGATCTCCTTCACAATCTCCTGGTGACGTGCCGTTGATGGACACAAACTGCCAGTAGGGCATCTCGCGCAGGTAGTCCCCATTGGCTCACCCAGCGTAGGGCTCGTTGTGCTCGTAGTGCCATCAAGTTCCCCACCAAACGTAGGGCTCGTTGTGCTCGTAGTGCCGTGTTGTTGGAGAAAGGACTCTCCCTCTGCTGTTGTTTGTTGGCGTGTTGGGCTCAAATGAAGGTTGTCAGGATTGGTGTCCAAGTCAGCCTCCAGCCGGGTAGGACATGTCGATCGCATCCTCTGACGCAATCCGCTCAAAGCTTTCCACAGGGCATTCACTCGCCCTTGGATTCCAACTCCTCCTTCTCCTTCTTCACGACCAGCTCCTCGATCTTGGCCTTCGCTTCCTGGAGCTCCTTCTTCATCAGCTCGATCTCCGCCTCGTTGGCGACCACCACCACCGAAGATGTCCTTGAGCTCACGCTCATCGGACTGCCCGAGCGACGGGTCGGAATCCCTTCGCTCTTCACCGTCAGGTCGTTCTCCTTCTCCGCCTTGGTCGAGGGCTTCGGTGGGCTCTGGCGGACTGGCGAGACCGCCTTGGGGTACGGCGTCTTCTTTGGGCTCTCCGTGGTCTGAGTGCAGGATGCCCCAGCCATCAGTGCTTCCCCCAAGGTCTCGTTCGCCCTGACCTGAACTGTCGTGCGGCCTCGTCCACGTGTCTCCACTAGGGTCCGACCTCGAATCTCCAGAAGCTTCCCGTTGAAAATCTTCTCCGTGATCTCGTGCGCTTGGAATGCTTCTTGAAGTTCCAGTTGTGCCAGCTCGACATGTTCTGGCGGAGGTCCAATGGCCCGGTTGTCCCCGGCGCCAGTGCCCTTACCGGAGTCTCAGGCCACAGTGATTGCAGGCCTGCCAGGCCGCGAACTTGTTGGTTCGCTGAGGTCCAGGAACGTGATGTCCCATGCACGGCCAGCCGACATGGCATGGGTCCTGGTCCGTGGAAGGAGGACACGTCTTCATTGTCCGTTGGGCTCGTCCTCTTGAGGTCGTTCAACCGTCGAGCCAACTTGCTGAGGCGGTCGGACAGAGCATCTGCGTTTGAATTTGAATCTTCCTCAACCATGAGTACTCGACCGTCAAAAATCACTGACTGACACTCTTCATGTTGCTCCACCTGACCATCAACTGCATGTTCAACATGATCATTCCCGGCCACATCACTGATGAATGACGACACAGTCTCCAGGGGCCTCTCAGAATCCTCGGGTGCCTCATGGTCCTCATCTTCTAGATCTATGGGAACACGCTGAACGATCACATCTTCTTCCTTTTCATCAGGCTCTTTGGGTTCCCCAGAGGGGTTCAGAAGGAAGGCCAGGCTCTTCATTTCCCGGCACGGAAGGCGTGTAGTTGGAAACTTCGCCTGAATGGAGAAATGCGGCGGCTCTCAGGTGTTGTTCTCGACGTTCTTCTGTCATCTCCTCTGGTTCAGGCGGCTCTTCAGGTTCTTCTCGGACGTGTCCAGTGGTTGCCGCCAGCAACCGTCCCGTTGGATCGTGTTGCTTCTTCTCTTCATGTGTCCTGGGTCTCTTCTTCCAGGGAGGCGGCTCATCTCCAGGGCCGGAGTCATCACCAGCATCATCATCCGGCGGCCAGCGCGTGGAAGGATTCATGTTGAACCTCTTCAGCAGGAACTCAATCGGAAGCTTAATCACCAGATGTCCGCTCGGAGAAGACCAGAGTTGACTCACCCACCATCTTCCATCTCCTCCTCGGTGGGCCAGGTAATCTCCATGATACGAGATCACCGCTCGACGAGCGCGGAGGATCCGCGACCCGATGAGCAGGGGGGTGTCCTCTGCGCCACCATCCAGCAGGTAGAACTCCATTCCTCCCATGGCGTTGGTCGTCACATGGCACTTAGATACTGCTCGTTGGTGTTCTCCATTGCCAAACCGGAAGCGGGGCCGGTTGTCCAGCGTGATGTCATACAGGAAATGGCCTGAGTCAATCAGCTTCGACATGGACCGAATGCCGGAAACAGATTCCGTGGCTCCGGAATCGATGATCGCCTTGGTCAGGGAAAGCTCTCCAAGGCGTGTGTCCTCGGCCAAGCTCATGACGTTGACCTCGTAGTAGCCATACTCCGGGGCATAGTCCACCCAGAAGGTCTTGCCGCCCTTGCGGCTCTTCCCACCTTTTCCTTTGCCCTTGAAGCCCTTCATCGAACCCTTAGGCGAAGAAGTAGGCGACGTTCTCCCGGATGAAGATCCCCGTGACCACCTGTCAGGGCATCTGGCATACGTGACCATTCTGTCCACAGATGAAGCAGGGTCCGAGGCTCGCGGCACCATTTCCTTTTCCCTTGCCAAAGGGACTCTTGCTCTTCCCTTTTCCTTTTCCTCCGAGGCTGCCAGAGGGTCCACCCTTCATCCCAACCGGACTGTAGTAGCCCCGGGCAGCTCTCACCTTCGCGACTGCCATCTTCGCTTCAGCAAGGGTCTTGTTGGCCTCCGCTGCGATGGTGAGGCCTCCTCCAGTCGCTTCTCACCTTCAAGATCTTCCTGTGCTGGATCATGCCCTTCTTCTTCTCCCGGTTGATGACCCTCACCGGTCTCGAACTCAATGCCATAGTCGTCCTCCCAGTAGGTCGGCGACCAAGCGAACCAGGCAGTGCGTCGAGGAAACCGTCCATGGTCGTCTGACTCGTCAGCTCCATCAGCGAACAGAGACCTCAGGGCCTGTCGGATCTGGTTGAAGTGCGTTGAGTTCCGTGTCAGGGTCAAAACATGTTGTCTCTCTGCCTGACTGAGCTTTGCGGCCTTGAGAAGCCTATAGCCCCTCAGTTCGTGCTCGAAGAAACCGGCCGTCTCGCCTGAAGTCGTCGAGGTCGTCATAGGCCTCGTCACCTGGGGCTCCTCATCCTCGAAGGTCACATCCTCGCGAACCGAGCCAAGTCCTGCCCGAGTCACGTTCGGAGACCTCGTAGGTGAGGTTGGCGGGTCATGTTCACTGGCACCAACTCCCATCGACCTGACCTCATGTCGGGACCTCTCGTGGCGAGCTCGTTGAAGTGCTTGTTGAAGCTCGACGAACAGCTCCTCCTCCCGGACCAGGAGTTGCGGGATTGTCTCTTGGGCTGTTCTCTTCAAGCTCGACCACTTCTCGAGCCTCGAGAAGCTATCCGGGATCGGAAGCTTCTGAAGCGGACTCTCGCGGAGGACCGAGAGCAGCTTCTCCATGCCATTCTCGGAGCTGAAGTCCTTGGGCTCGAGGTGCTTCACCACGCTCTTCGCGACTCCCAACAGCTTCTGCCAGACCTTCGGGGCTGCCAGCTTCTTCTCTGCATCCTTGAGGCTGTATTCGAACCACTTGCACGAAGTGGCGAAGGCCTCAAAGGATGCTGGGTCTCCATCCCAGCTTGGATCTCCTCATGGGGCATGGCGCCCCTTCTCTCCACCAGTCGTCACCGCCAGCTCCTCAAGGAAGACCGTCTCCAGCAGCTCCGACTACCATGCAATCGGTCCTATCCTAAGGACAAACAAAGTCCGTCGCGGACCAAAGCGCGAAAGGGCGCACCTGTTTTCGGCTGCGCGGCTCGAGCCCCCGCCACTGCGGTTCAGGGGAACATGGACAAAAAGAGACATGAAGTCCCCATCCTCACACGGGTGAAAAAAAGATCGGAGGCCACACCAGCAATGTCGTTTTTAACATGTATGCTCTCACCACGGGTCTTGACATACAGAGCCACCTTGACATACGCTCCAAACGGCAAGTCATTGAAGCTCATGACTAAGTCTTTATATCTATTGGCTTGGAGGCCATCGCTCCTGTGCTACTCGCGGGCTGTGCCTCGGTCAACCAGATGGCACCCATGTCTCTGCACCACGCTTCGGCCGCCTGGAGAGGCGAGGTACTGGTCACACGAACCGGGTGGGTCGTGGGGTGAGGAGTGGCTTGTCCTGCAAAAGGATCGAAGCAAAGACCTTAGAGTCGATATATTTGGAGCGCCAGATGGCCAGATGGAGGCGTGTGAGGTTTGGTATTTCTGTCAAATGGACGACCCACTTTCCGGGACTCCCGAGTCGTGGGTATGTTTCGGGACGTCGCAGCCCTTTGAATGACGTAAGCGACTCCAACATCCCATCAGCACAAAGACTTTTCCGAAGAAGCAACACACGAGTTTCTTCGGGCCTTGCCGTCCCGGTCGGAAACCAAAAAAGCAACGACGCCGTGGTCTCAACCAGGTCGGCTGCGACCGGTCCTGGTTCCGACCGGTCGTCGGAACCGAGCGAACAAAGGGACGGCTTGAGCGGCCGACCGGTGCGGGGCCTTCTGCACACACCCGGTCAACTCCGACCGAGTGGTAAAAGCGGTGACTGGTCGTCACAACGGGTGCCTCTTGATACTCCTCCAAGTTCAGGGTCTGCAACCACTCCGCAAGGCCTCCAGAGCCAATCCGGAGCCCATGCAGTCTGTGGACAAGCATAAACAAGCAAGAACTGAAGACCCATCAAATCGACTGGTTAATTACAATCCCTCAATATCCCTTCTAAACCAGATCTCAGAAATTCCCCTAACAACACAATTTGTATAGATTTATAGATCTATAAATCTAAATGTTGTGGAAGACCCTTCAAATAAGTCAAATAGCACTGCGCCCACATAAACCTCGAACTGGCCCGGTACTTCACACCAGAGGAAACAAACCTAAGAAACTGCAAAAGTGATAAGCTGGATTGTTCTGTCAAGTCCTGACAAAATCACCCCAGGGGTGAGTTTGGTCAATCGAATTTGAAAATATTTGAACTGGAGTCTTCATCCAAACCATTTGCTTCATCCCAAATGCCCAGAACCCACGAGAAGGTCTATCCTGTCCACCACGCCGCCCCGTAACCGCTCCCGGGTTTATCAGGGGGGCCGGACCCTCCACAGGCGTCGAAGTCGGCCTTCGAACCTGGTGCCAGGTGCGGGTCATGGGTCGTCGCCGCACCAGGAGACACGAAACCCCAGAGGCCCCAGACCGGTGGATGGCCGTGGGCCCCGAAGACCCGTGTTCGGTGCAACTCTCCACTTCCAGGGAGAGTACCGGTCTTTAAAGACCTAGCAACGAGACTTGACTCAGTCTGAGCGATGACCCTTCAGTATAACTGGGTGTCTGGGAGTGTGGACCTACCTAGAAGGTCAAGCTACATGGTGTTGGAGGGCTCCAGGTTTTGACCTTCCAAGAGCCCTCCCAACACCATGTAGGAGCCCTCCCAACACCATGTAGGAGCCCTCCTTGTTGGTTGGAGAATTCAAGAGTGTTGCGCTTGGAGTCCGTTTGGAGTGAAACGCGACTCTATCGGACCCCCGATCGGTCGCATCGAGCACGCATCGACGATGCCAGCTCTCTGCGGAGGTCAACAGCAAAGTCGGACCAAAGGGTCCGGCGAAACCATCGAAAATCACTTGCTACATCTTGCTACCCAAGGCTTTGTAGTGCAAAAGCCACTTGGATGTCTGTCTTAAAATAGGGAGACCTCCCTTCCGTTCCCAAAAGAAGAGACTCGAGCTGGAGCCCTCCCAGTCCAGGTGGGGACCTCCCAGTCCTCTTCTCATCTTGTCCGAGACACGGACACGGTGAGGAAGCGACGTTCGACCGGGAACTGGGACGACCAGGTCGTCATGGGACGGTTCTGCGAGGACTTCGAAAGCACACGGAACTCGTACCGAATTCTGAAGATGAATCAAGGTGATATCCCTTTTCAGATTTGGAACATCCAAAGATCCTCTCCTAGCCTAGCAAGGCGATTCTCTTTGGTGTCGAATCCTTCTGGAGGCGGTCTTTGACTTCTGACAATTCGCCCAGCAAGGCCCGCGAAGACCGGCTGCGGGCAGGGTGGCCCCCTCACTTCATACTTGCAGGTGAATTGAAGACCTAATACAGAACCTCTTGGTAGATCGACTGGACAACACCAGTCTTCTTGGCTCCAAAAACATCCAAAAACGACATACCGGCGGGCCCAGGACATGCCGAGTGCTCTCACTCTTTGGAAACCGAACTCCAGGGCGAACTTGACGGGTCAGAGAACATCCCCCTCGAATTGGTTGAGGACGGGGATGTTCGCCCATCGCTGGGCAACCCATCGGTTTCAGTGTGAAAACCATCTGAAACCAATTCTGGAAGGGTCATGAAAAACCTTCCCTCAAGTACAGATCAGATCCGTCGCAGCTCGACCCTTTTTCGCTTCGCGTCAACTGGAGGGTTGAGTGGCTGGTGTTGCTGCGTGGCCTGTCCCCGGGTTGTTCCTCAGAAATCCCGGGTCAAATTGGTAATCAATCAAGATGATGGGGATCTAATGTAGACTGTTGACTAATAAAACCACCCCATTTGGATTGTAAAAACCTCTTCTACCCATACTACTCGAACTTGAAGACATACCACGTCGCCGACTCGGTACGCGTTGGACCAGTGGATACTGTAGTTTGTCAAAAGAACAAGTACAACATATCTACCATGCATATCGCGGTGTCACTCATCAACAGTCTACATCACCAGGCCCTCCAAGAGATGACTCCGGGTTTTGCCTCAGCGGTGGGGTCCACATGCCGTTTCTCTTGTGAAAGCCTTTCACGTCACTCCGTCCAGACCTTTCACCGGCTAGGAATGACCTCCCTGGCTGATTAGTGGTTGCAACTCATCTGAAAAATCATCCTAAGTAAAGGTTGAAAGACAAAATATCTGAAACCACCACCCAGCTGGTTTTCTTTGGGGATTCAGCTCTATACCCAATCTTGCAGACCATCCAGAGTAGCGAAGCAGGACTTTTGAAGAGTTGGTCTGCCGAAAAAACACACATATTATGAAGACGTGTAGTTTAATCGGGAAAACCCTGTCTCAATGGGTAGACTGGTCTACCGTCCTTTTCCCAGGAGGTCTCCCTATTTTAAGACACACCTATATGAGGGTTTCAGTCCGGTCTTACATGAAAAACCAGTGCAGCGGGTAAGCGTGACTGGGTGTAATGTGGTGTTTTCGGGTTGGGCTGCACTCGGTGCGCTGCGTTGCACTCGGTGCGTTGCACTCGGTGCAATGTTCCAGTGCAGCGGGTAAGCATGACTGGGTGTAATGTGGTGCTTTCGGATTGGGCTGCACTTGGCGCGCTGCGTTGCACTCGGTGCAGCGCACTCGGTGCGATGCACTCGGTGCGTTGCACTCGGTGCGTTGCACTCGGTGCGCTGCACTCGGTGCGTTGCACTCGGTGCGCTGCACTCGGTGCGCTGCGTTGCACTCGGTGCGCTGCACTCGCTGCGTTGCGCTCGGTGCGCTGCACTCGGTGCGTTGCACTCGGTGCGATGCACTCGGTGCGCTGAACTCGGTGCGCTGCACTGGGTGTGTTACACTCGGCGCGTTGCAGTGGTAGTAGTAGTAGTAGTAGTCGTGGTGGTAGTAGTAGTAGTAGTAAAAGTAGTAGTAGTAGTAGTAGTAGTAGTAGTAGTAGCAGTAGTAGTAGTCGTCGTAGTAGTAGTAGTAGTAATAATAGAAGTAGTAGTAGTAGTAGTAGTCGTCGTAGTAGTAGTAGTAGACGTAGTCGTAGTAGTAATCAAAGTAGTAGTAGTAGTAGTAGTAGTAGTAGTAGAAATAAAAGTAGTAGTAGTAGTAGTAGTAGTAGTAGCAGGAGTAGTAATAATAGTAGTAGTAATAATAGTAGTAGTAGTGATAGAAGTAGTAGTAGTAGTAGTAGTAGTAGTAATAGAAGTAGTAGTAGTAATAGAAGTAGTAGTAGTAGTAGTGTAGTAAGTAGTAGGTTGCACTCGGTGCGTTGCACTCGGTGCGCTGCACTCGGTGCGCTGGGTGGTAGTGGTGGAGGTGGTAGTAGTAGAGGTGGAGATGGACGTGCTACGCCATGAGTCCAAAGGTGACGCCGGGGGACTTCACGGCGAAGAAACAGAATGGATGACTCCGCAGAATGGTCAACCAACCAGAGTTTTGGGGTCAGCGATCTTGCATCTGCATCCGCAGGTTTTTTTGGCATTGAGTTTTGACCGTGTCCTCCCCCAATTACTTTTTCGGGAGGGTCTCTCCACCAGGAAACCACACCAGCACGTGCATCCTATTGGATGCCAACAATATGGCCAATTGGCAACCTATGAACATCACAACCTTTTGGGGCCAGGTCCACACCAGCCAATGAGGGTCGCCTCTGCTATGTTCAAATGTGCAGACCTCACTGACTCCGACTGGCTCTGTGTGTATGCCGGGGTTTTTCACTGGGTCGCAGCTCAGGAGCTGCGGGGAAAAGCACATCTAGAAGTTGGACAACTCGGGCAATGTCGCAGGCACAAAGAAACAAAACATTTGAACTTCGGGCCACTTCTGCCTTCGAAAGAAATTAAGCAGAAGTGGCAAGCTCCACAAAACATGCAGCCAAAGGGACCAAAATGGTCCAAAAGCCCCACCACTCACCCTTTGGCCTCCCCCCTTTGAAAGAAGTCGAAACCTCTTGCCTTTTGCACCTGAAAAAACGATGAAAAACTACTCACAGGTCGGGCGAAGTTCAGAGTCGGTCGTGAGTCAGCTCGTCCAACTGTGGAGGCCTTCTTCCGCCCCGCGGCCGAGCTCTTCGCGCGGCGGGGTCCGCCACGCCGAGCCGCGCTCAGGCCGCCGCGCAGCGGCCGCCGCGAGCGCCCTGCGCGGCGCGAGCGCCGAATCCATCGACGCGGACGGGGGGCGAGATGAGGTGCCCAGGCGTCCTGGAAGATCCGATCGGACCAGGAATTCGTGGTGTTTGACTCATCTGACTGGTTTTGAATCTTCAAAGTATAGTGAAGGTTTGGTGGGAACAAAAGCACGAGGCATCCTCTCTGAGAAGATGTGGCGTTCTCGGCTGCATGGCCTGGAAGCATTGCACTTGAGCAATGCCGCAGTGTCCATGTTGCGCGTCGGCAGGAGCCGATTCTAGTGACTTTCTGCGGCGGTCTTCATCTTCACCGCAGTATACCGCAGTAGAAGGGGCGGCGGGATCGCTCGCTCTTTCAGGTATCTTTGGAAGGGCGAGTTCGTGCCTTCTGCGATGCCAAAAGCATCCTATTTGGGTCGCTCCACTGGTCGATTCGTGCGCAGAAAGCTTTGCTGATGATGACGCAGTTGATAGGTTCTGAGTGGTTCTGGAATTTTGGGTGTATTGACAAAAGAAGGGGAGCAAAAATGGATCGGATGGAGAAGATTTTTTCTCACAAGAGGACCAATCGGTTGTTTACAGTATATGTTCGTTTTGGGCTGCAGACAATGCGAGCAGCATCACTTTTGCGTTGAGCTTCCTACTAATGAAATGAATTGAATTGTGTGTAACCATATAACCATATGTGATGCTTAACTTCCTACCAACAATCATCAGGAATCAGACCCAAATTCTAAAGGTGGTCTTCTGGATCACTTGTCTGGACAAAATGTTGCATGTGTTTTCTTTTTCTGGTGGCTTTGAGGTGCTCATGAACAATCCGTCAAAAGTATATATCAAGAGGTCAAGCTGTTTTGCCCAGACAGCAACCAGTTGAGCACTGAGCCAAAGGCCCATGGCAGGGCCGTACGGCAGCCATTGACTTCATCGGGCTATCAGCCAATCGATGGCTCAGCTCATGATATTCGCCACGCCGGCTGGCGAGCTGGCACCTGGTGCTTGAATCGAACGCTGTCCGAGGGCCGCAAGGGCCAGGTCGGTACAAAGTTGCTAATGATTGCCCTTTTGAGACCTGTCTGATGCATTCATGTCAGGCTTGGGGGGTATATAACTATATATATATATTATGTATACAGACCGGGTCTGCACTGTTTCAAGAAAAAACACCGGAAATGAAGCGATTCTTGTCCAACCCATTCTGTCACCAAATCACGCATCGAAGCTATCCGAGATAGGTTTTGACATGATCAAGACGGTCTATATAACTTGAAAACATGTTTACACTGCCTGAAAT